TCTTTGATCACCAAGGCCTTCTCCAACAGCCGTTTCATTTCTCGATGATCTCCAAGATCTCCGCAGGCATTGGCCAAATTGTTCAGAGTCCTGGCAACGTTTGCGTGCTCTGGGCCGTGCGCCTGCTCTATTGACTTACACAGCCGCTCACCCAGCTCGCGTGCCTCCAAGGCCTGGCCGGTTCTGAGGCAAAGACAGACCAACTGATCTTGCTGAACCATGGCTTGAATAGACATCTCTCCAAAGTAAGAGACCGCCAGCGCATGACTGAGCTGTGCAAGGGGCAACATACACCACGCTTCCTGTTTTCGCAGCTCTTTGTTGTCGAGCTTTTGCAACTCTTCGATCCTTGTCAGCACAGACTCCGCATGACGAGGGTCCACAAGCCGCGGATCTTCCAATGAATTCATCAGCTGCTGGTGCCCATCAGGGCCTTGGATTCTGAAGGCCCGCATGCACAGCCCGGCATCTCGTGCCAGCTCCTCAGGGGTGTCCCTTAGGCTCGATGAATCTATAGGGCTAGTTTTAAGAAGGATTCCTATACCAGCCGCTAACGGAAACGGGTTATCAAGCATGGTGGTACATTGGGGACGACTCTGCTCCTCCCATCTTGCAATTCTTGGCGAATGCCCTGGCATGCCGGGCACAAACACGTGTACAAGCTCTGGGCGCCGCAAGTAGCCAAACTCCCACATGCAAGCCACGGAGTTGAAGTAGGACCGTGTGAGGTTCACGATGAGGATCCCATGCTTCGTGGCCTCGGCGGCCGTCTTGTAGTGCAGGAACCACGGCGGCAGCTCCCCGGGCTTTCGTTTGGCCGTGGTGACGGGCCCCTGCTTGACAAAATGGGCAAGATTGAGTGACTTGTCTGTGCAAAAAGTCATGGGATGCACTTCCCCAGCAAATTCAACTCCCTCCTGCAGCATCCTCAGCGTTGCATTATTGGCTTCTGCATCGCAGGTGGCAAACGAAATGAGGAAATCGGCCTCGCTGGCCAGCGTCTTAGCTTCAACCTCCCGTCTTACCTGCCAGCCAACTGGCTTCCACTTTCGCCACATCCACAGCCTCTCCTTCGTTTCCTGGTCCGCTGCTAGCTGGTCAGCTGTCTGGTAATCTGTCTGGTAGTCGTCCTGTGCTCCACGCATCTGCATCAACTCCTTCGCAATACCACGGCTGTTGTACGCCTCGGCGCTTATGGGGAGAATCTTGATGGCCTCGGTGAAGTGGCCAATGGCCTGCAAGGGCTCATCTGCACGCAAGCTTTCCCAGCCACGGGCGAGGGCTTCCTCGGCTTCCTCGTTGGCAAGTTGCCAGTTTGCACCATCATGAGCAGAGTTGCAGGCAACGCTAGAGGATGCTGCTTCTGGACCTTCGCCGCAATCTAGCGGCTGCCCCAAGTCGGAGGCTGCGGCGCCCGTCGCAGCAGGCCGCTCTTGCCCGGAGGTAAGGGTTTCGCACGAGGAGTAACAGTAGTAGTAGCAGCAGTAGCAGTA